ACAGGGCAATAATGCCTTAACGCCTCAGGCATTAACCCCCTGTAATAGGAGGGAGCTAAAGCCCTGGAAGCATTTCAGGGGTACCTCTGACAAAAGACAGCAAAGCTTTAGGCAACCATAACCCAGTAGAGCTGCATCAGAGGGGAACCAATGAACCAACGGCCATCCGATCAAGAAAAGAACACAACAAATGTTGTGAAGCCCTGGGTGGTAGAAAACACAATCTAAAACAGGGATGAGGGGGGTGGGAGGTTTTTTTTTGTAACTGTTCTAGATTGTGTTTCCTCTACAGGGAGGAACAAATCATCTCTCAGGTTGCGGTCCCGGAATATGATTGGGGAAATGTAGCTTGAGTATCCCTTGGCTGCAGATCCTCAAATCATCTCTGAATTTGTGCCGACACTGCACTTCCTTCTGGAAGGTGGCTACTTTTTTGTTCCTCATGGTTCCTGTGTGCTCACTCCTGTGATGGAATACCATCTCAATACATATTAGTAAACTATAGGAGACATTATATTCCATCGTGGGAGCGAGCTTGGAGCGGTGGCTACTTTACAACACACACAAGGGGGACAAAAGTAGCCACCCTCCAGAAGGAAGGACAGTGTCCGCACCAACTCAGAGACGATTTAAAAAGGTACTACAGCTGAGTGATACACAAACAAGATACACTTTTGAATAGGTTTGTTACTTGAACGCATTTTTAAGATTTAACTCCTGAGGTGTGTCCCTTTAATTGTATGTTAGTGCAGACTTATGAGAAAACCGGTGAGCCAATCAGACAATGACATTACTGGGGGCATTCCTGTACACCAATGGTGTATAGACTGCATCCAGGCTGCCATAATTTATTAAATTATTGACAGTTTAGCAAACTACAGTGGCTGCTGTTTGAAATAGAAAGAAAATCCTGGTTTACTAGAACAAAAAAAAAAGTAAAAATGACTTTGGTCCACAGGGGGTGTGCAGGTGGGTGAGCTGAAAAAGTAACAAAATAGCCTGTGCAGCAATTTTATATACTTATACATTTGAGCCTGCAAAGCATTTAACTGTGATCAATGCACAAGCTCTTGCAGACTATTACCCCAGGTCTGTATCAAGGTACAGACCTTTGGTTGTGGGTCTGGAAGAAGTAATAAACGGGCTACAAGTGCAGTGACGTCACCCTTGTGCTCCATTAAAGCGAACCTTTACCCAAATCTTCAAAATAACAACACACCTTTAGAAATGTAGTATTATACGAACAGCACCGCAAACTCCCAACCAGCTCTAGAAGTTGCGCTGCTGGTATTTACTGTGAATTTAATTAAAGTCTGTAGTATTGGAATTCTCTGGATAGTGCGGTCTGTTCGTATACTACTACATTCCAAGGTGGAGACGCACCTATTAGACCAACACCTGGGGAGGCCTGATGGCATCAAAGAAATTGGAGCGGTGAGATTTCTTTTGCTTCTACACCTTTAGAAATGTTTAGTAATGACAATCTACAAACACATACTTCTAGATAATTGCCGGCTTTGTATACCTTATTTCTCTTTTCTTCCCCAGTCTTCTCACAGGGTCCATGTTTACTAAGGGCAGATTACTAGCTCTCCTGTTACTTTCTGGATTTCTTGCACATGTGACTAGGTTATGTGACCATGCACATCTCAGGGGAGGGAAATGCCTTTCCCTGAGATCTCGTGAGATTGCAGATGAGATTTCCCAGCAATGCTCTGCTGATAAGGCAATCCCAGTGTGCACTGCTTTGGCAAACTAAAGTAATTTTGCCCTTTAAAAGCAGGAAGTGAATGATCTGCAAGTGTAAGTATTTCAAAATCACAGCATTTTACACCTAACATGTCTATGTAATTATTAAGCATCATACATAGAGGGATGCATTGGTAGAACTTGATTTTTGAGTGTAATGGTCCACTTTAGACCTATAAGTCCCTATTCTGCAGTGGCAGTTGAAACATGTACATGTAGCCTTTTTATTCACAGATCCTGTAAACAGATCTATGAATGAAAGGTGTGGCTGGACGGGCAGAGTCACATCCTGCTGTGCGGAATTTAAATTTAAACTGAAGACACCGGAGAAAAGAACCCAGATAAGTTGGGGGCGGTTTGGGGGTGGGGATCGGTTACACCCTAAATATGGGTGTAAAATGAAACAATCAGAAATATGGAGTATTCGTTTAAGACTTAATGTTTCCACTTGATTTATTTGTGAAACCATCTGTGTCCCATCCCCCCCCCCCCCTCGCTTTGGTACTATTGTGCATTCTTTTCATTGAAGTAACATCACCATAACAATCAACAAGTCAAAGCGACCCGGTATTCCCTGCACATAAAATCTGGCATAGTGCACATTAAGGCTGGGTTCACACCTAGGCGTATTACGCATGCATGTCTGCCGCGCGACCGTCACGCGGTTTTTTTACCGCGGTTCGCGGTAAAAAAAATTGCGCGACCGTCGCGCGATTCCGAAGGCTACTTGGCTGTATCCCAATGGAAAACGCCCTCCAAAACGGCCCAAAGAAGTACATGTACTTGTTTGGGCGTCAGCCGTTTTGTAGGGCGTTCAGACGGGCGGAAATACGGAAAGGTGTGAACCATACCCATAGAAAACAATGGGATTTTCATGGTTGTACGTTTTGTAGAGCGTTCATAGAGCGTTGAACGCCCGACAAAACGGAAAGGTGTGAACCGGGCCTTAGGCTTATTCTACAGTAAAAATGGCAACAGATGTATAGAGAGCAATAACTGCTAGCATACCAGTATTTCTCTGTGCTACCTTATTGCTGCTCTTCATATTTCTGCACAAGAAATTCAATCAGTCGTGGCCCTGGTGGCATCACCCAGTTTCACAGTCAAAGGAGCCAGGTGGAAAATTGTCAGGTGAACAGTGACTGCAGTTATTCAGCTGCACTCACTGTTCCGCTCTTCTGACAGCCAGGGATGGCAGCTATCAGAACACAATAGCCTTCAGGAGAGATTACCCCAGCCACGTTGTTTAGCGTGGAAGGGGAAATCCAGAGTAAAAAGTGTATAGCTAGCTTTATTCTTGGCTTTGCACAGTTACCCTGAGAAGTTTTGTTTACAGGAGGAAAAAACATGAACCACTTTATTTTCTATGGGCCTATCTTTGTACACTGGTGTTCCATAATAAGATACTGCTCAGGGCCCCGACAGGTTTTCAGGTTTTAATAAACAAATTACTTTTATTCATATGTCAATTTGATGGAGATTGATATACATGTACACAACGCTACGTTCCCTTTCCAATTTTCCATTCGGCTTCTTTTGTTGAGCCAGGTGGTGCCGGTAGCAAGCAATCAATATGCACACTGTGGATTTGTTCACAGAAGTGACTTTTTGCAGTGGAGTTAAAACAAAGACTTGTTTTAACTCCACCTGTAATTAAAATTCTCCTTTTTGCTAAAAGTAATCTACCTATATTGCAACTGTAATGATTGGTAGCAAGGTTGAAAGTTGTTCACTGTACGATATACTACCTATATGCACAACTGGAACTTTAGTTTTGGGGTGAATATTTCTGTGGCAGATGTGAGCACAGATGTCACCAGCACACCAATCCCAAACAAGCGCTAAAGCCTGATGAAGGGACCCTGCGCGGTCCCGAAAGCGCTTGTTTGGTCATATGACAAAAAACTTCAATAAATGAAGCTTTTGCTATGTTAAAAGGATTAGTGTGCTGGTGACATTTCTACAATTTTGCTGACATTCGCGGCGCCATCCGCGGTCACTGCGAGCACCCCCCACTACAAGGGACATATCGGTAAGGAGTGCGACAAGGATAGTACTTATTAAGATGTGAGCACAGACCACATGTGGTGGCTGCATTAGTTTAATTTTCTTTTTTCGCTATATTTGTACCTGGCAACACCACACTTCCCATCCTAGGGTGATCACGTTTACTCATCGAGCAGTATAGTAAGCAAATTGCCTACAATGGTATATTTACTAGATCAAATAAGAAAAAAAAAAAAAGTTTGTTTGGAGATACATAAACTTTGAATTTACTTAAACAATGCCTTACGTGTGCAGGAGCTACATCTAATGGTGACAGATAAGAATAGAATCTAATATCTGGCATTATTTTAATATTCTTTATTTGAAAGAGTCAATACAAAAAAAATTCCCATAATAAAATGTTGTAAATGAAAGATGGGACATTTTTCCTTGTAATGCCAAGATAAGGAGAAAAACAAAACAAACAACAGATAGCAGCACATGGAAAAATGAATGTATTCCCAAACGTTGTGACAAGGCGACATCCTGCTTATATGAACCTGTGACTTTAGTGCGGCCACCAAAATGTTTTTTTTCCTCCCAGGCCAGCGTAACATTTATATAGTCCTCTGCAGAAGACAGACATATTACAACAACTTCCTTCCTTTTTAGAATTCCTGTTCTATCAATCTTTTTATTTACAGGACACAGCAGAGAATAATTCAAATCAGCAAATGTCTAAAAAAAAACAAAAACATTTTTAAGGTGTACAGACTAAAATGTAGCTTCAATGTTGCTAATTAGATTCTGAAATCTGGTCAATTGATCTCAGAAGTACAGTTCTCTATAAAGAAATTTAAATGAATTGAGGTCCAAATGGAGTTTTTTCCCATATGCTGGGGGTTTAATCCAAGCACTGGAATCCAAAAACTTTGATGTAGTAAAGCATCAACGTGCTATCATGTATTCAGCCACTATATCCTGCATAGTTACCCTCACCTCATGACGTATCAGACAGTATGGTCCACAATACAATAATAATAGTGTTGCTTAATGGGGAAGCATTGATCTTCTGGTTTAAACTGTTAAGGGTTACCAGCATCTGCTGTAACAATTAAGTTAGCTGAAGAACTGCTATTACTACAAGTTACTCTCTCATACAACGATTGACCCTTGGACCTCAGTCACCGATTAATTTTTGGTAAATTAGTATTAAAGAGTAGAAATCCTGTACGGGACACCTTTGCGGGTACTGCAAAATTACATATACATAGATTTATTTCTTCTGCCATGAAATATATGCATTTTTAGGAGATCAAATCCCTTAGCGACGTGGTATAGGTTACTTGCCAAACATGCCCTGGTATTTCTGTTTTTCTTTTTCTCTGGAAACACTGAGGGCAGCATCTGTCAGTTGTATATATTGTCTAATGTTCGCATCTGGATGAAGAAAAAAAAAGCAAAAATATTATGCAAGTATAAATAACATTCTGAAGCTGATTTACTCAATAAATTGAAGAAAAATGTACTTTAATTATCCAATTATTCAAAAAGCATAATAATTCAGGTTTATTTTTTTTCATCTGCATACGATTGTATATTCAAAGTGAACACGGCTACAATTTATTGATGGAGGATTCTCAACTCTACTAGTAAACTAGTCTTGTTAGATCTGCTTTGTATGAACATTGAGATGTAAAAAAAACCCCCAAAGATAAATCACCTTATTTTTCCCCACCTTTAGGCCTCATTCACACTACCGCGCATATTGTACCATATGCAAATAAATGGCTCCATACACGTAGCCGCATATGGAGCCGTATATTTGCGTAGCGTAAAAATGCACAAAACCAGAATGGAACAGATGCGTCCGGGCAGCGTATTTCTGCATATTTTACGCGCATACGCATGCTTGCACGTGTTTCCGAGCGCATGTGCATACAGTTAATTAAAATTTCTATTAGAAATGATGCATTCTGGGAATGTAAATAGTGCACGCAATATACAATTTTGCTCTTGCGTTGTGTGTGAATGAGGCCTAATTGTGACCTTCAATCTGTGCAATTCAATTTTCAATCTTTTTTGTTTTATAAACATTCCCTACATGAAGTGGATTCCCAGAGTGATAGGATTTATTTATTTTTTTGGTAAAAAAAGCACACCAAAAACTGTTTGCCTTTCTGTCTATCTAATGCTGGGCATACACCTTACAACCAGACTTTTGTCTTGCGATGGCTGTAATGTAATTTTAAAAACGTACGATCTGCCTATCTTGGACAGGCAGATCGTACTTGTGATGATCGCAAGCCGCGCCCCCGAGGGGCGGGCTTCCGATGACCGCAATGCCGAACGGGCAGTGTGCGCTTGCGCACACCGGCCAGTCCAGCTTTTATCTTACGAACATGCTACACACCCAAAGAACATCGTACGATGCTCGGCAGATTTTCGAACATGTTCGTAAGTTGAAAGTCGTGCGACCTTACAGTAGTAGAGGTCGTACGGCTTCCACACACCTTGCGATAATCGAACGATCGCGGGATTTCCCGCGATTATTGTAAGGTGTGTGGGCACCCTAAAACACCGGATAGGACTGACTTGAATTAAAGAGAGAGCAAGGGTTGAGTCAGTGCAGCTTGAGCTACTGAGCTCTGCAAATTGCTCTTTTTATTGGGCCAGACCATAATTATTAAATGCATTCCCTTTAACCTTTAAGATAAAAGTTATGGTTTAGGGGCTGAAATAGATTGCGATTAAGGGCCTGTTCACACGACGTCCGTTTTGTGTGCTGACTGGCTCCGTACGCTGCTGCACTCAAAATGCACCCCAATGTATCCTATGTGTTTTATGGGCTCCAGTTCTCACGTGTCCGTTCAGCTTACGACAGAAAAAAATACTGCATGTCACATTTTGTCAGGTCCGGAAACGGTCCGGATACGCAAACCGCGCACGAAACGCAACGAAAAAACAATGCAGCTAAGGGGGGAAAAAAAAAAGAAAAAAATTGTATTCTTGCTCCACTTATGATGATGTCATCAACGTTGACAAAAAATTAACTGTCAGCATCCGGACCGAAAACGCATTAAAAACGCACTGCATCAGCAGCTCCACGTCTGCTGATCAGGACCTGATCTCATGTGAACAGGCCCTTAGGGTTAGCTAAAGGGTTACATTTTCGTACTTGTCTTAGGTTCAGGATAATAGGTTAGCTTTTTTGGGTGTGATCTTTTTGCTTTCTTCTGGCTCTATTTATAAATGTCTTCAGACAACATTAACACAACTTTCACCTAGCATTCACGATTTATCAAAGAACAAAATGCGTGGATCCTGGGTGAAAGTTGTGTGAAAACCATGATAAATAGACCCGTGTGTTTACTTGAGCTGTGAATTTTTCATCTGTCCCTCCAGCGCTGCTGTGGGTCTCCGATCCAGCACTGACTCCTCTGTCCTTGCTGGTACTTCCTGTCCCACGGTGTCTGCATGCAGGTGCACGTGTCCATAGATTTACCTTGCGTCTCTCCTCGTCTCCCGGCCGAAAATCCGAAATGCACATGCGCCCGCCCCCAAAATGCTTTGCAGCCGCCCGAGCAGTTTCAGATTGTCGGATGGGAGCATGGGATATGTTTAAACCGCTTTTAAAGCGTTTTTTTTTTTTACTCTTTGCAAATATCTACTGCTTGCTAGCAGTAGATATATGCAGAAAAAAACGGAGGGTTTAATAACCCTTTAAAAGGAGGAAGAATGCAGAAGAAGTAGAATTTTGGGTTTGTCAGCTTTATCCTTTCTATCCTATTCTAATGTTGCCATTGGAGATTTTCCCTCACTTCCTTTCAGGAGCAGTTGTCACCATGACAGAAAGCGAGGGAAAAATAGAGCTTCAGATAGAAGCAAAAAAAATGTTTTGGCTGGACTTACACTTTAACTAAAGCTCAGCAATGATATATTAGGAATATACTAGTATGCAACACTCACCTTTAGGCTGCTTAGAGGCAGCTTGAGTCAGATAGCTGTGAGCTGTTGTATAGTCACAAAGATGATAGGAGGACACTCCAGCACGATACAATGCCTTAACATTATGAGGCTGCAGTTTAAGAACCTGCAAACTGCACTCATATACACGTTCATACCGCGGGTGCGGAGGCTGGAGGAGACATGCTAAAATACAAAAGGATTGCTTTAGCGAGAAGATAAACTATAGAATCTACACAGTTGTACCGATACATTTTCAGTTGTACCTGCTAAATTATTATAACAGTCTGCCTGAAGAGATTGCAGAGTTTCCAACTGCTGTGGTGTGAGGCTGACAGAAGCAGGGCCCAGGCCACATAGAGGGTCAATCAAGTGAGGGTCTAGGCTGCGAAGCTGCAGAAGTGCACGGTGGTACATACTCATAGCTTCCCGCCATCGATGCTCAGAATAGCAAGCATTGCCCCGAGTCTTAAAGGAGACTGCCTGCTGAAACCGCTGCTCCACGTCTCCACCCTACACAAAGGAGTAAAAAAAAAAAAAAAAGTTGATCTTCAGTATTTATTTACGAAGGTTAAATCTAATAAACAAGATAAAACATTTGGACAACATATGACTAATGAACCTTGTAATTACCCAGCAGATCTGTGCAAATAAGTCCAGATATGCCTACCAATATGACAAAGCTCCCCAATCCCTGCACTCAATACTCAAATGGCATTCAGCTGAAGTATTACTAAATCTCTTGTTTACACATGCTTAATATACAACACACTTTTGCAAAGCATATGCAGAGCTGTGCAAGCTTTGTGGAAGTCCCATCTAGCTCCATTTTTTGAAACGTTAAACAAATCTTATCTGAAGTGTTGTCACTTTAAACAACTGCTGCTGATTCCACAATAACTGTCATTAACCCCTCCATGACGGAGGCCTTTTTTCCCCCATTTTTTGCACCCATGTTATATTCCACATTTTAGGCCTGAAAAGTAGTTAAAACTCCCAAACATTATATATTTTCTGAATGCCAAGACCCTGTACAATATAATGGTGGTAGTTGCAAATTTTTATGTTGCGCAATATTAGCGCAACTCCTTATTAAACCCCAAAATTTAGTGATAAATTTAATTAAATGCCCCAAAAAACAACAAAATAACAATTTTTAAAATAAAATATAAAAGATGAGGTTACAACGAGTAAAACGATACCCAACATGCCCAGTTTACAAATTGCGTGCGTCCGTGAAAGGGCGAAAAACTGCAGTACCCCAAAAAGTCCACAGAAGACGCTTTAAAAGCCCCCACAGGTCATCAATTTAGAGATACCCCAAAATACTGGCCCTAGAATTATTGCTCACTCCGGCGTGCGCGGCGATACCAAACATGTGTAGCGCGTTTGTCGGTTTCATACGTAGGCGCACCCGACGCGTTTACGACTTTTACATTTTTGTTATTACATTTATTTTAAAAACGGTTTTGTTTTTTTAACTTTGACTGCTATCACATGGGGGGCTTACAAGCCCCCCCCATGTGATAGCAGATGGTGGTGACAGGTACTCTTTAAGGTGATGCTGGGGGTCCAAAAGACCCCCAATGTCACCTTTACACTAGAAATAAGCTATTGAAGTGCAGATCGCACTTCAATAACTTATAGCTGGGCTGCAGGAGCCCAGAACTGACAGCCCAGTGACCGGAAGTGATGCAATCTGCATCACTCCCGGTCCCACAGAACGGGGAGGGATCGCTGAACGGAAGTTCGTCGACCTCCTCCCCATGGACACCGTCCCGGGCCCGTAGGAGGGGCAACAGAGCCCGGGAAGCACGGCGGCGGTGTCCGGCCCCTTCTTCGGGACACAGAAGCGATCTGGCGACAGGTAAGTCGCCAGATTCGCTTCTGTTGTAAAGCAGACAGTCGGCTTTACAAGTTTAAACAGACTCCCGGCGGCAAAAGTCGCCGGGAGTCTGTTTAAACAGCCCCGATGCTGGCGACGTACACTGTTCGTCGTCAGTCACGAAGGGGTTAAATAAGATAATGGGAAAAAAAAATTACACAACTTTATCGCTATGACATAGGGGGCTAACAAAGCCCACCACCACGCACCATTAAAGCAATCGAGCAGCTCTATAGCTGCCTGAACGCTGGTATGTAGCAGTACATGTACTGTAACAAATGTTTAGTGTCCGGGGGGGGGAAAAAAGGCATTCATTCACGGCAACCCACATCCAAGAGCAAATGGGCAGGCAGCAAGTGTTTAAACAGACTCACAAGCAATACTTGCGATCATCGAAATGCAATGACCGCAATGCAGAACGGGCAGTGTGCGTCCAAGGTGGGCAGAGCGTACGAGCCACCCGTCCAAGGTGGGCAGATCGTACGAGCTTTCAATAAGCATACGACCATCGCAAGACAAAAGTCTTGCGATGGTCGTAAGGTGTATGGGCACATTAAGGCCTGGATCACACCTGGGCGTTTTACAGCGCGTTCCTACGCGCTGTAAAACGCTCAACATGTGAAAAACCAATAATTGCCTATGGGCATGGTTTCCGATCTGGGCGTATTTCAGAGCGTAGGAACATGCTGAAAAACGCCCTACGCCCAAAGAAGTACAGGAGCTTCTTTTTGCGCGTATCCATTAGGATACAGCCGGATAGCCCTCGTAAATGCGCATTTATTTTACGGCAAATGCGCATATTCCGTACGCCCAGGTGTGAACCCAGCCTAAGATCTGTAATAATGTGATCCTGGCACAGGTGGTCTGTACATCTGGGCATGGCAGGATGCTGAGAATGTGCAATGGAATGCTATAGCGATGCCACAGCAAAAATTACCATAATAATTGTAGGAGTATGAAAGGCTTTGCAGAATAACATACAGTAGTATGTATAATGAGCTTGTAAGTGAATTGAAATAAGATTGAGTTTACTTCAGCATTAGGGCTAATTCACAGCAGACGCATTGGGGCCGCACTGGCCTTTTCCAGCAAAAAACAAAAGCAAAATGCCTAGTTCCCTGTGAGCCCAGTTCAAAGCAAAGTATTGTGCAATGAAAAAAGTACTGCCTGCATAACTTTTTTTCAGCACAGCGTGGTGCATCGGTGTATCAGCATTTTTCTCTCTCATTGTACACCAGCAGCCATGTGTTTAGCTCGGCTTGCCGGTGCGAATGATGGCTAAAAGTATTTTCACTTTAGCAACCAAACACAAGTTACTGCTTACGTTAAAGTGCTTTTTCCTTGCTTAAAATTCCAACCTAGCATCCCACCATGTAATGTTAAAGAGCAACAATTCCCCCCATATTTTTTTAATGCCCACTCACCTTGTTGTTTGGGTCACCCTGAAGTTACATGCACATCCAGTGTTGTGCTGCTGCAATACCCTTCCGCATGCCTGGTTACATGCCACCATCTTCTGCCCCCCCCCCTGTCATCATCAGAGGGTCTCCCGTCTCTTTCTGGTTCCTGCACCTGCTTCCTGACGACCCCCATTTGCCACAGAGTGTCATCAGGAGGCAGTCAGCAAGAAACAGAAAGACAGCTGCCCCCTGATTAACAGTAGCACATGCACAATAGAGGACCCCGAGGACTCGTGACATCAGTATCTCAGAAGGCTGCAGGTGATTAGAATGTAATTCTTGCCGAGGAAGTGGCAGGAGGGGTCCAAAAGTAAAAATACTGCCAGATTTAGTTATCAGTTTTAAACTAGGAGTTCAACACTGCCTGCCCTAACTAATGGTTACAAATCTTGGAGGGTTAGATTCTGCATTATATGTTAATAAGCGGAAACTGACTGAGGCAGTCGTTATCCACTTAACATATAATGCAGAATCTTTGTCCTGTTGAAATTGCTCAATCACTTGCAGTTCTATGTATAATTTTGCCCCAAATAAACAACGGTAGGAAATATTCAAACAAATTATTTGGAGGTGTTCTGTGTGAATAGAAACGTGTAGTGAGGGGTTCTCAAATTTGATTGTAAGAGTAGGCATACACTTTATGTATTGGACGTGAAGCTATTTCAAATTCACTGTTCAGGCAAAGCCAGACTGCGCAGCAGACAGGAAACGTCATACACAAGCCACAATCATCTGAAATCCCCCCTCCAGTAACAGCACACTACCTGTTCAGCCATCACAGCCCAGTATCACTGACCCATGCTGCTTCAAGCTCTGCTCTTTGCCACTAGCGAGGAAGCCCGTCACGTGACTCCCGAACTTTCAATAACTTTATTCACACCGACCAATGCTTTCAAGAGGCCGACTTTTCATTAATATGACTACACACTTCCGGCCTAATGTCGTCCTTTCCTCCTCCTTAAAACACACCAGCCATAAATGACTGCACATCACCCTTTTTATTAAGAGAAACGAATCCCAATCTCCAAAGGAGAATATGGCAATATGACTCCAGACTGTTTGTTAAACACAATTTCCAATAAGCGTTTGCTTGGGAAATATCATATCATATCAAATACTATAGGACGGTACACTAAGCGGGCGAAGAAGCTGCGCACAAGTGCCTTCCCTTCAGCGTGCTTATAGAGTGAGGCCACAAAAGCCGAACAGCCAATCACAAACAGCAGCATCATCGCCCGTTCTCCGACAAGCAATGAGCAAAAAGGCGGGAGCCCGTCACCTGACCAATAGTTACCAATAAACGAGCCCAAGCTTTCAGTCCTGTGGTCCAATCACAATTTGATATTTAAACAGACTTTCTTCCCTACTACCAATCAGTAAATATGACGTCAGGGGGTGTGTCCTGTCTCCTGGCGGGTGTCTATTGTTGGTGGGGGTATGAATTGTTGCCGCCATAACGGGACTATACCGACAACTTCCTAGACCCCATTTAAGTCTGACTCTGAGCGAAGGGGGCGCTACAGGGGAACCGAGCCAGAAAAGACCGCGCCAGAAAAGACCGCGCCATTTTACAGCGGTTTGAGGTACGTAGGTCAGCTTCCGCCCCTACTACTCCCACTTCCAGACGAACTTCCGGGGTGTTCCCCTTGTCCACTTCCGGTGCGCTAAGAAGAACATCCGCCCTGTGTCTTTATCTGTGATCAGCGGCAACATGAGCGGCCTAGACCCGCGGAAGATGAAAGTAACCGAGCTGCGAGCTGAGTTGCAGCGTCGGGGACTGGATTGCCGGGGCCTGAAGGCCGAGCTCAGTGATAGGCTACAGGAGGCGCTCGATTCTGAGCTGCTCGGTGGCGGTGACGAGGAAAAGGCGGCGACCGCCAACCCGGGATTAGCGGAGCAAGAGGAGGAGGAACGGGCCCTGGCGCTCGGGGAGGGAGAAGACGAGGACGACCAGGCCCCCGATCCGACAGAAGAGGAGGAGGACGAGGACGCTGCGCACAACGATCAGGAGCCCCCCGGGGAATCGGCCTGCGCCCCTACTGAGGAAGAGGAGGAGGAAGAGGAGATGGAGGAGGCTGCGGAGGCCGGAGACACCGGGGGGTCGGTGAACGGGGCTGCGCACACGGAATCGGCTGAGGCTGCGGAGAGCAAGGACGGAGATGAGACTTCAGCTGGTGGTGAGTATACCGGGGAGTCGGCCTATTGTGCTGGGGGAGCATTGTGGACCTATACACAATGGAGGCAGCCATTTTGTGGCCCATACAAACAATCCGCCTAGAGGATGGCTGGTGACGTCATGAAGTACCAGCTATGAGGTTGGTGATCAAAGCCTACACGGCATCTGTTTGATGCCAATGTCCATTAAATGACTGCCACGATTGTTTATGGGGACAGGGGCTGTTTTTGTTGCTGATCCACTAGTTTTTTGTTGTTGTATGGAGATGGGGAAATCTCTAATAGATGTTCAGGGAAATGTAAAGCCATCATAATTTGCAAACCAATTCTGCATCATTAATGGGCATAATGTATAAACCAGAGGTTCATTCATAGCCACCTACCAATGATCGTGTTTCTGATTGGATCATGCTGTGTATGTTATGTAAACCCATCACTCACCCTGCACCACACACACACTTTTATAGAGGAGCACAGATGATGGACATATCCTCATGTCAGGAGATTATTGTCTGAAGTCCATGTCAGTCAAGTAACACATGTAGTTTTTACTCTAGCTCAGTTATTGGTTATGAACTGTAGGATATGTGGGGTGACTGAATGGGGACAACCTTTTCTGTGGTAGATACCAATAGTTTAGTCAGTGAAGTGTCTGAAGTACATACTGCAATTTGATTGTCCTACAAAGTATTGATCTACAATCAGTGCTTACTTTCCGGAATATATAAAGGCAATTTCGTTTTCATTTGGGTAGTCAGTTTTTTTTCACATTAAGGACGTTTTGTTACATTGCCCGTTCTGTAGACTCAACATGAAGTAAGAGAATATCTTTCCAATGGTAAGGAAATTCCCTCGTAGACCTTGGTCACAGTAATAAGCGTCCTCATCGGAAGACTTCCCTTCTATTTTTATGTTCTGGTAACTATCAGAAATTTGTATTTGGCCATCGTTTTCATTCCTGGTGGCACTGAGGATCAGAGCAATTCAAAGTGTGTTTATTGATGGGATTAAATACCTGAGCGTTTACTATTTCCTGTAATGAATATTTTCTGGTTGGTTTTTTACTTGGCTTATAGAGCGTAATGCTGGGTTGAGAAGTAAAGGGCAAGAGGTCCCATTTAGTCTGATAAATGCTACACAGCAAACTGGCTGTCCTAATGCTATTAACACATGCTGCCTCATGAATGTGAATAGCTGGATCACATAACAGAGCCCTGCCTCTACAAGGGAATGTAAACAGAGGGCTTTTCTACTGCTAATGTTACTTGGGAGCTGGAAGACGGCCCGTGTTATCAACATAATGTGCACAAAGATGAAGCTGCATCCTACACGTTTTCTTGTGCCAGGTTTCTTAAAAAGGGAACCTGTTAGGATTGAGCAGTGGAAGCTGTCATTGCAGACTTGTATTTGAATGTACGTACATTTGGGCTATCCTCATCATTGCTCCACTGTCTATTTTTTAGTGTTTTCACCCAAGATGAACACATTTTTATTTGATTCTTGCATGGAAGATATGACTCTTGGGTGAAAACAACAAATGTACCCATTTGGTGTCTGCTGCATATACAGACTTCACCCGATGTGATTGTGCTGCAGTCATTCAGCGGGCACATGATCTATTTCATGGATACTATTTATGCTTGCACTTTAACAAATGCATTCGTGGTTGAGTCTAAAGAATCTGAGTGTCAACGGAATTTACAGATTCTAAATATCATTGACCATGAAAATTGTATTGCCAAATTATTTTTTTTAAGTATTTCGTAAAATATCTCCCCAGTGCTCTTTATTTCACCCCACTAATTACGTCTTGGTATTTTGCAGGTGCTGATGGTGATAGTGATAAGAAGGACAAGAAGTCTGATCCCAAAAATGTAGGAGCTGGGCGCAAGGGCGTGAAGAGGGTACGGGAGGAAGAACAACGTGGACGCACATTTCATGAATACAAAGAGGAGGGTTATTATAGCCGGTAAGACTGACTTTTTGGAGCTCAGGTTTTCCCTTTTTACTGAAGGTTTTGTTTTTGTACTTTGGCTACTAGCTTGGACTCCCAGTGGACCTTTACCTTCTTTGACTAAACCATACAGCTCTGTATGCTGATATAAAATCATCTTACTTTCATTAGTTAAACAGACATATTTTTATTTTACGTACAATTCCTTTTTTTCCACTTCCTGGTCCATTTTGGCACAAATGATGTAATCTGTGCCCAAGTATTGCATCCAGGGAAGGGTACATCAGAAGAGCATTGCTGCGAATACTCGTCTGTAATCTCAGGAGATCTGAGGGAAAGGCATTGTCCTCCCCTGAGATGATGTGCATGGTCACATGTCCTAGTCACATGTGCCAGAGTTCCAGGAAGGAAAGGGAGATTAGTAACCTGACCTTAGTAAAAATGGCCACTGGGAAGAAAAGAAAAATAAGGAATTCAAAAAATAAAAAGCCTGCAATTATCTAGAAGTATCTGTGGATTGTCATTACTAAACATTTTAAAGGTGTATTTATTCTCATTTGAAGATATTGTTAAAGACCCTCTTTAAGGAACCTTTTTGTTCTTCAGTTGTTTTATTGGGTTGGTTAGTTTCATTTTTTTTTTTTCATGAGAACCTTTTACGCATGCATGACATTTGTTTTTAAACCTAAAATTTCTAAGTGGAGGCACATTAATGTTTACCTTTTAGTTTTTATTACTAAGGGAAAAAAACCCTTACTGCATTAGTCTGTGATTTAGTTTCACTTTTACTAGGTGTCTGGCTTCTGGGATCTCGGTGCTTAACTGCCCTTGCTTTCTCCAGTAAGAGCACTCAAGAAGACCTGGATTTAAGAACCGCAATTGTAGAGCATAAGCTTGGTGTAGAAGAGTGTAATCTAAGCAACTGCTCCATTTAAACCTATGGCTGTTCTGTTCTCGTCACTATTGGGTAAAAATTATAGTTGTAGTAGCTCTATTGATACACAGAAACCTTGCGCCAATAAAATAAGAGATAATTTAGCTGCGAGCACTCCCTGTAGAAATAACCAACGTATAACTCTCAATGTGCCAATCGCTTTCAACCTACACTCTACATAAAGTAAATATATACATTTCTTCAATCAACATCCTATAGAGGTACTTAAATATATAAATTGGTGCACAATCTTTCACAAATTGTGTGAATAACTACATAAAAAAAGAAATCTTCATATAATATCACTAATAAGTGCCTGTGACCAAACAATGTAACCCAGTGTCCAAACAATAAGTCCCAAACAATAAATATATCCCAACTTCACAAATCCAATTATTCTGAATAAACAGTCCCACAAAAGGGACTTCGGAAGGTGAGAGGTTTTCACCACAACTCCTCTCAAACTGCCCTTCTGATCGATTTTGATCACATTACCTTGGATGAAAACGCACTTCTAGAACTCTAAATAGAGGGTCTAAAGGGTGAGGTGAGTGGCCCTTTTTGGTGAGGGGCACAGTTTGAGAGGAGGTGTGGTGGAAACCTCACACCTTCCAAAGTCAATTTTTATGAGAATATTTGGACTTGTGAAGTTGGGATATACTGTATTTATCATTTGGCACTTATTGTTGTGTGGGCACTGGGTTCTATTGTTTGATCATGGGCACTTATAATATTTATTGATACTATAATGAAGATTTCCATTTTTTTTATTTTGGTATTTCACACATAATGTGTGAAAGATTGTGCACTAATTTATATATTTAAGAAACACTATAGATGTAGACTAAAGAAATGTATGTATTTACGTTATGTAGAGTGTAGGTTGAAAGCGCGGCACAGTGCATAGTTCTATTGTTTACATATGCTGGGTAACATACTCTGATTTAGGTTCAATTGTTAGATTTGGTGAAAGTGATTTACCTTTTTTTTCTTTTCTTTTCTCTTTTTTACTTTGCTAGTTCCAAGTCTCCTGCACCTACTGCAGAGGCATGCGATGAAGTTGAAGACAATGTGCTGTGTCTTGATGCATGTAAGTCATTGTATCCTATTCTCCTACCTGCATTTGGGAGGTTTTCCCGTATTACTTCCCCTAGTGAAATTGTTATCTTTAGTACAGAAGGTGAGGGGAAAGCTGACAAGAACACAATAGGCTAATTTGCCTATTCTATGAACAAATTTCAGTACACAAACTTTAGATGTATCACATATGTGTGCATGTTTGTTTGTTTATTTTCCTTGTGAAATGGGCGTTTAATGTGTGAAAGCTTTTTTGTTTTTGTTTTTTTAATCTTTTTGTAAACAAAAAGTTACTTCATCATGGAGAATGGCTCCTTTTTTTCTGTTTTTTGATATTAAGATAACTAAACCCCAAAACAAACCAGTGTTTTGCAGCTTACCAGTCCCTATATGTTTTCGCTGTGTTAGTTTTCATTTTTCAGGCTGAGATTATTTGCGAAGTCAAGGAAATAACTGTTACCAGAAATGCAATGTCCAAGTCACTTCCTGTGAGTTGAGCAGACCGCAAAAACAATACTGTATGTTATGTAAACATATTCTGATATCCATGTGATTGAGATGAACAAAGGCATACATGTTTGAAGTTAAGACTGGGTGGCATTTAGTGGAGGAGTGAGCGTAGCCACCCAGGGACAGTAAGTTCTGTTTGTAGGCTTACCAGCTAAAGTTAAGGGGAGGGGTGTCTGAAATAGAACTAATACATAATTCACATCTAAGGCCTGGTAAGCTGCTAGATATATATATGTATATGTATATAGAGTATGTATGTATACATATTCTATATCTCAAATGTTTTTAGTTGCACTTTAAACATCTACTGGCACTCCGTTATCTCCAGACATAAGCTATTTTAACGATTAATAACCTGTGCTAACAGTGTTGGTTGAATGCTAGAACATCTGGTGCTAAGTTGTTTGTGCCACATTTACAGCCATTCATTGTGGTTTCCTAAGGTGTACTAAAACGGTGTTCATTTTTTTTTTTTTTCCCCTGTGTTGATGCATACATAAATGGTTTATTGAAATCTATGGCAACATATTACAGAATGCATGTTTCTAGATTCTAAAGCATTTATGTTTAAATGGGGATATGTGAACTAGATACTTATGCTCTCCATTCTTTTTCTTGTTCATGTAAGTTTTTCTTTCTAACACCCCTGTCTTCTTACAGCGAACTGTGATCTGCAGTTTAAGATGGATAAGGATCGTTTTGGAGGAAGACCTCTCTTTTCTGAGAAGTTCCCATCTTTGTGGTCAGGCTCTCGAGCTACTCATGGAGTAGCTCAGGGCAAAGTTTACTATGAAGTCAAGGTTAGTTTTCAGGCAGATTTCAGTTTGTGCACAATGTCCATTTCCATTATGTAGCAGATTGAGGAGTATGATGGTGGCTTGGTGTGGCTATTGAAATACTATGATGCTATGAGTAGTGCCTAATAATTCTTTTGTCATGTCGGAAGACTGCAAAACAAGTTTGGAAGGTGGTAACCGTCATAGCTTTGCCATTTTGTTAGAAACTTGTCTTCAGCATATTGTTTTCCAGTCTTGGGATGTGGAAACAATGTCCATCTCCCCTTAGTGGGCCTACTCATCATTTTTCTCTTGTGATCCCCTTCCCAGACACCACAAGTCACAGTGGGAGGGTTTTAGGCAACAGACAGTGCCGTCAGTCCAGAATGCAGTAGGCGGCACTAGATATGACCAGGTGCTGAGTGACCAACTACAGGGTTGTAAATCAGCATCTGCTCCCTGCACCATTTGTTCATCCCACTGTCGTGCAAACGGGCAACCTGCATGAGTGACAACTCTGCTCTGTATTCAGAATCAGTGTAGCATAGTTGCCACTCATCACAGGAAGCTGCATTGGGTACATTTCACTGGTAGGATCAGCAAGTATTTGTGAGACTTTGCAAATGTCTACGAGAAAACTTAAGTGCAGATGCTCTCATAATTAGGTGCTGCAGGGAATGGTTCTACTTTTACCTCTTCCTGGTCAGAGCAATTTCTTTCTATTTGCGCACACATGATAAAATCTGAATTTTTGGCTACAAAACAGCTTCAGACTCCCAAACAATGATATATCTTCTGAAAGCATAGGCCCTGTAGAGTAAAAAAAATAAATGCTAGTTGCAGTTTTCTATATTGCAAGGTATTTGCGCAAATGTTTATCACACCAATATTTTTTAGGATAAAATACACTAAAATGAAATTTAGTGCACAGAAACCGAATACCCAATTTTTTTTAAGTAAAATATAAGACGGGGTCACGCCTGGTAAATGGATACCAAACATGTCGAGCCTTAAAATTGCATGCGTCCGTGATGCCACAATAAAACTACAATACCCCAAATTTCCCATAAGCTTTGCTTTTACTGCTCATCAGTTTAGTGTTACCAGTGATTGATGGCCATAGAATTATCGTTCGCGACGATATGTAACGTGTGGTGCAATTTTTGTTTTTGCATGTAGGCGCACCTGACACGTGTTTGCGCTATATGTGCGTGCACTATATGTGCGTGCACGTGGGGGACTTTACAAAAAAAATTGGGAGGGGGCGCTTTTTTTTTTTTCCACTCAACTTTATTGCTACAAGAACCTTTTCTGTGTTCAATATTAAAAGTAATCACATTGTGATCACTATTACCCAATGACTCCCCAATTACAATATCCTCGATTAACTCTGCATTATTAGTGACAATTAGATCTATGTAATGGCAAATATAATGCAACAGGTCTTTATGAAGACATCAGGGGTCTTTCAGTCCTCTAATGTCACCTAGGGACAAGAAGATGAGGAAGCAGAGATCTGCCTCCCCAGCTTCTGGCTCGCAGAGCCACGGAATATACACAGTGACACCAGAAGGGATTTAATGCACATCACTTCGGGTCCAGTGATCAGAGGAGAGATCCAGCGGCTGGAAGCCTGCTGATTTCTCCGATCAGTCAGGGGAGACCCGCCATTTCAGTCCTGGGCTTGCATGGGGGACAGCAGAGCCCAGGGGAGGGGGACACAGCGCCGAACCATACAAGCGATCCGACAGATGTATTTAAACAGCAATCGCCCGCTGTTTAAAATGATACCAAGAATACCGATGCAGCAGCCTTGTTCTTGGTACAACCGCTTCAGGTCGGGACGTTTTTTTGCAATGGGTGGTCCTGAAGTGGTTAAACAACTCGGCATGCAGTTTTTTTCGTGTTATACTGTGTAAACATAGAAAAGTATCACCAATTACCCTTTTTCCTGTTAGCGTATTTGATTCTGTTTCTGCTATCACTGCAGTCACTGGTTGTCATCTTGCTTGAGAACTTTAGTACTAATGCTGTAGCACACACTTATATGGCTTCCGTTTTTCCCCTAATGTGTAGGTGACTGAAAACCTGCCTGTGAAAGAAGGCTGTACAGACGTTCCTCTGCTCCGTGTGGGTTGGTCTGTATGCCAGTCAGCTCCGCAGCTAGGTAACTATTCTATATGGATTTTTATTAAAGCTGCCCTTTTTCTGTTCCAGAATTGTTTTTGAACTCTTCCTCTGTCACTGTTTGTTTACCAGGTGAAGATGACTTATCCTTTGCTTATGACAGTCGGGGGTTGAAGGTTACCAGCGCACAATTTGAACCTTATGGGGAATCCTTTGGCGAAAATGATGTGGTTGGCTGCCTTGCTGTAAGTTCTCGCTTCTCTACATTTTTGGTTTGAGCTGTTGGATCTGAGTGAAAGGGGTATATCTACACACATTTTCCACTGCACACACCTGTCATTTTGAAGACCGGTTGTGTTTTGTATGTGTCATTCTGTGTGACTGCATGTATGTGACTGCATCTGGTAATCAGCAGCAATTTAAACTAATATTTTATACATCAAATTCATTAAAACTAAATGTGTAAATGTAATATTAATTTTAATGACTCTTGAAATGCTTAACATTTTTATAACCATGTCAATCCTAAGTTTAATAGGATTCATAGATGCTAAGGGAAGCCTACAATGGATTTGGGTCAATATTTTAAAATGGACATGTATCTCTCAATCTTTGTTTTACAAATGAAATGATGCATGTAAATACCAGAGTACTATGGGTTAACTAAAGAGATAAAGCCGCACAACAGTTTCCTTTGCAGTTCCCCATTGCATAAAGCCTTGTAATGAGCACTGTAATGGAGAATGAGCCACTTTTGCAAGTGGACTTATTTGATTTATGTTAACAATGGGCACCTTTCAACACTAATGGCAGCTTAAATGGTTAAATCCATGAATGGGCAGCTTTACAACCACCTTGATCATTTTTACTAAATAGCTGTGAGCCTTCTGCACAAAATGGGAATAAGCTCACAGCTATGGAATTTTAGCTTGCTTGTGCTGGAGTTGCATTTTCAGTGGCCACCCAATATCCACAGGGGGAAGACTTTGGGCCCAGACAAATTTGTCTCAAATGTTTGTGTAACAGATGGTTTCAAATGTATTTTTTTTGGTTGTTGCCGAATTTGAGTGTGCTTATTTTTGTTTTCTTTCTTTTAGAACCTTGATGGTGACTCAGTGGAGATATCTTTCTCTAAAAATGGCACTGAATGTGGCCAGGCGTTTGTTATAGATAAGAGTACCTTGGGAGAGCAGGCTTTGCTGCCCCATATATTGTGCAAAGGCTGTGCTTTCCAGGTGAACTTTGGACAGATGGAGGAGCCCTGGCATAGTGCACCTGATGAATTTACATTCCTGAAAGCGTTTCCGGATGAAGGTCTTACAAGGGTAACATCACCACCAAAAACCATTGAGGAGTGTGAGGTATGTAGCAAGTCTGCAGGACCCATTATTTAAGATAACCTTCTCTTTGTAGGTGAAATGAATCATTTGAGTTTGCTTTTAGATGGGTAATGGCTGCTGTGGTGTACATAAAACCTGGAGGAATAGACACTGCTCAAAACTTGCTTTACTGGGGTCACATTTTGGATTTGTAGTCACTGAATTCTTCTATTGATGCTCAACACTACTCGGTGTATGTAAACCCCAAATCAATCATGTAATATGACAGTATAGAACTCCCTGAAATGTAATGGCTGCATTAGCTTAGTTTTTGGGGGGGCTTTTTCCACTTTCACCTAGTGAGCCTGTTGGTAACACACTTGCTGTCCTAGGGTGACAACATTCATTCACTCACTACTAGTACAGAAAGGGCTGGAGACTATGTACAGTTTGTATTTGTTTTGTACTTGTAGACCTGTCCTAGTTTTTATTTTTAGTGAGAGGAAGGGAAGCACCAGTTTGTGTGACTGCACTAAACGGTTCTAAATGAATATCTGATTGCTAAGCACCTCATTTTATTGAAGAATGCACATGCATTTCTATTTACTTTTATCAGGTATTGCTGATGGTTGGCCTCCCAGGGACTGGAAAAAGCACATGGGCTGAAAAACACATTAAGGAGAATCCAGAAAAACAATTCAAGCACCTGTCTACAGATGTCTTGCTGACACAACTGAAGGCGAGTTCTAACATTTATGTTCGGCAGGGGATGTGTGAAGCCAATAGGTGGCTTAATATTTCCTGCATGTCCTTGACAACTAGGTTTTTAATACAGAGTAGCCCCTAACATTCAGTTAATGATGATGAACAGTTATTTAACCTCCAAATGCAGTTTGTGCTGAAATTCCTATAGATGAAACCAACCTTGATGAATAATTTTAGAACACGCATAATGCACTTGCAAATGTTTTTCAGAACTTTGTGCTCTTTTTCACTATTTACATGGTTTCCATGTGCACTGGTGATGTAAGCTTAGAGGTCGGCTTCTTTCTGTTATTTGTCAAACAGGATACTGGTGTGTATTATATAAGCTTAATACTAGGGATGCACCAATACTGTTTTTTTTTTTTTTTTCTATCAGGTACCGATATTTTGCTTTCAGTACTTTGCTGATACAGAGTACAGATACCGATGCTTCCGCTGGCATTTGTCTGGGAAGCCGATTCATTAGGAAGCCCACTGGTGGGTAATGACATGCTTCCCAGCCAATCAGCAAGCCAGCAGGCGGGTCATTACTCGCCACCCGGCTTCCTGATTGTGCAGGAAGCCGGCTCCATGTTCCCCTCAGAGGAGATCTTCTCTGACCGGAAGTACCAGTATCGGGTAAGGTATTTGGGCGAGTACGACTACTTGCCGGGATACTCTGGATCGGCACCAATACTAGTATCAGTATCTGTGAATCCCTACTTAATACAGTGCAGGTATGGCTAAACTTGACTGGTTCCTTTTCTTTACTAACTTGTTGTTTTTTTGTTTTGTTATGCAGACAGCAGGACCAGATGCCCCTGAAGAAGATGAGAAAGCCAAGGATCATCTTGTCCAGTTAGCAACCCAGTGTTTGATCAGGCTGGTGCCCCTGGCTGCCCGCAGGAAGGGAAATTACATAATTGATCAGGTGAGGAAAGCGAAGTGTTTGCTGGTGCACTTGGTCTGCTTGACTTATTCATTAAGATTTGTTTTCTACCCTCTTTACAGTGCACAGTGTACAGCTCTGCACAGCGCAGGAAAATGCATTGCTTCAAAGGATTTCAACGCAAAGCTGTGGTACTCGTCCTAAGTGATGAGGAGTGGAAGCAAAGGTTGGAAAAACGCAAAGAGAAGGAAGGGGAGATTGTCCCTGAATATGTACTCCTAGAAATGAAAGGTATTTAATCTTGCTTGTCTTAGCAGTATTTTTGCCCACCCTCTTCTTTTCCACCCTAATTGTCATGTCTTTTCCTATGCAGCCAACTTTGTTCTTCCTGCAAAGGGTGATTTTCTAGAAGATGTTTTGTACGCTGAGCTGAACCCGGAAGAGGCAGATGCTCTGGTACAGAACGATAAGAAAGAGGCACGGAAGCAACTGCCCACCAATGAAAAGAGAAGAAACCGTATGCAAAAGCGTACACGCTCAGACAGGGGACGCGGAGGTAACCGTAAGCATAACCATTTTTATTTTTCTACTCCTTTTTAGGCTGAAATCAGCCGGGCTCATTCGGACCTGCATCCGACAAGTTGAAGAAACCATTCCCAAATCCCTTTACAGCTTACTTCTTGGCATGAGCTCAGCAATGTCAGCTTTTTCAAATTAAAGGGTCATTCTCTGTTAACAACCACAGATTTCTGGTTTAGCATTGTGTACCAAGAAAATAAGTTGCTGAGATGCTGCATTGCTTGTACACGGCCAGCATGCTAGTCAGACAGCCTTCTGTTGGGTTGTACTGCAACAAGCCACTTTCCCAAAAATGTCCATCTAACAATAGCCTTTGTTGTGAGCTACAATTTTTATTTTCACTCTAGGTAACTACCAACAGCAGAGGAGCTTCAATAGCCGTATGTACATGCAGCACTCAAGGCCACAGCCCTATCATCAGCAGCCACGTCAGTACTGGGGAGGAACCCAAAGAGGGGTGAGTAATTGGAAGATATAAAAAAAATTTAAATCTCTACATGGTGGGACAGATGCATGTAGAGTGGACTTGAGAGTGCCTATGGAAGAGCTTATTGACACGTGGGGTTATTGGTTTAACGTCTTGCACCTCTAACAAAATCTTTCCTATTTTGCAACATAGGGCTACCAGGAATTCTATGATCGCTATTCTGACCAACAAAGATACTATGGACAACAACCTAACTTCAGGCAGCAAAACAGAGGGGTAAGTATTGATTTAACAGGGTAGAAAATGTAATGGTTTACAAGTATACAGGATGTCCTCAAACCCATGCTCTGTAGTATGTAGCTGCATCATAGCCCGTGTGGAAGAATCTTATATCTTATATCTGGTGTCTGGTTATTTGCTTGTAGTGGGAGTGGAGAAGCAAAATACCAATCAGGCTAGCTAAATTTTGTTGGGTGTTTTTTTTTTGTTCGTGTGTGTGTGTCCCAATGGTTTTCTCAACTTGCTCAAATTTGTTTAAGTTGGCTGGAAGATTCCCTCTAGCTTTCTAGTTTTTCACATGCCTGGGGCATGTTCAGTGGGAGCCTTCCAGGACCATCTGCCGTCTTAATTGACAAGTCTGTTTGAAAATGATCATATACAGACCACATACAAAAATACTAATTTGAATGGAATACAGTTCTAGGTTGAGGATAGGCACTTATTCTAAAGAGTTATTAAACGCTTTACATAACCTACTGTATGTATTCCTGTACCAATTGCCATAGATTTTTGTTTACTATAATAACAAACAGGTTGCATTTAGGGCTTTTACTGGGACATTAAAGTCCCTTAAAGTGACGAGGTTCTACAGCTGAGTGATCGAATAGTTAAGGTACTTAAATGCGTTAAGATTTTAGTGTCACTTTAAATTAGACATTCATAAACTCAACCTATCCACATGTGTTTTGTAGAGTACTTAAAGGAGAACTATGGGGTCAGTGTTTTCCCCATAGTTCTCCTTAGGTTAACGGGAGGACACAAACTAGCGTCCTCCCGTTACCCTAAGCTCAGTATACCGCGAGCTACAGCTCGCGGTATACTGAGACGCCGGAGCAGATCCCGACTTAGATGACGGGATCCGCCCAGCTGCGTGAGTGACAGCTGGCTCTGCCTATCTAGAGGCAGAGCCAGCTGTACCCTCCCCCGTCCGTTCCACCAGTCAGCGCTGGCAGATCGGAGAGGGGAACCCAGCCCCTCCCCCTGTCGCGGCAGAGAGCCCTGACAGGATCGAGAGGCGAGCGAACCCGGTATATGTTCGCTCACCTCCCGATCTACTGAGCCGACCTGTGACAGTCTCATTGTCACAAGTCGGCTAGAACTATGAGGTGAGTGAAAAGCACTCACCTCATAGTTCTCTAAGTTTTTTTAAGTTAAAATGAACAAATCAAAAAAGTCCAACCTGTTTATTTCTACATGAACATATTATGGAAAAGCATAAGAGTTTAGTAATCCACAGATATATACAGCTAAAGTTGTATGCAAATCATTAGTCTTCTGTAAAAATCCATCTTTGCCCCTCCTGACTTTGCCTCTCGAGCCTTCCGGTGGATGCATAAATGACAAGTTCATTTCTAGTAACCTTGTACCCCTGACGTCCCTAGCCTTTGGCGCAGAAATGTCACCTTGGGCTCCTATTACTCTGCACTATGGCCCCATCTTATTTCTATCGTTGAGCTGTATTGCAGCTGTCCACCTGAATAAAGCATATAAATTAATGGTGCTACAGCGGTAATTGGTGGGGACATTTTTGCTAAAAGGTCTTTGTGGCACTAGGCAAGGCTGCACGGTAAAGATCACTGGAATTTGAAGGAGAGTATTTATCATGGCAGACTGTACTCAAGGGTACTTTTTTAATGTGAGTAATAACCTCTATGACCAATAGGGATGGTAGAGATTTTGGAGGGTAAAGGTCCAATCTTAAGTTATTTCAGGTGCAATCTAAAATGTATACAACCTCAGCTGTCTTTATTTCTGGATCTATGGAGTGTTTAGATGTGCAGTATTGTATAGTTGTAGGTAAAATCCAATGTTTTGGTAAACTTACTGCTGTGTAAAATGTATCCTCCCCCCCCCAATAACCAACTTCCTTCCTTCCTCATTTCCACAGTGGCAGAACTATGACAGAGCACCATACTGGGATTATTATGGGTACCGTGGATACCGGTGAATGAAGTAGTCACACACAGGGGAAGGCAGCTCGGGGTGGGGTGGGGGGTTTGGTTTGTATATTTCTTTTCTACATCCAAAAAAAGAAAAAGAAAAAAACAATTTTTGTGGAGGAGAAACTGCAGAGCATGTAAAAGGTCAGAGACTTGATCTCCTTTCAACTTTTTGTGTGTTTATTGATCTTTAAAACCTGCACAGGTTCACAACTCTGTCCAGTCTTGTCCTCCTCTGGCTGAGGTAGACTGTCCATTTTCTTCAAGAGCGTTATGGGACAGACACCTGTGTGAATGGGGGCTCCGTCCTGCCCTGCATTCTCCTGCCTAGCTAGGAGTATTATGCAGTGATTTTTACTTCAGTCTCATCATAAGCCTGTAACCTGTTTAATTTTTATGCCAAAAGAAGAAACATTTTTAAGAAATAAAACTTGTGTGATGTAATTTCTCTCCAGTGTTTTTGTGTTTAATTGACACTTACATATTGGAGGTAGCCATTTTCTGGACATACCAGTTCATCAGTGAATGTAGTTTGGGCTAGGAATTGGAGACATCACTATGATCTTGATGCTGGATTAGTCCACTTAATGGTTGCTTCCATTATGTATGAGCCATGGGTACACTGTAAATGAGGAAGTGAAACTGAACACAAATGGGGTCATCTTTGTAAATGAATTCTTTTCAGAAAAGTCCTGAAACGCAGAAAATAAACCTGTGGCTGT